CAGCCAGCTGCGGGAGTTCCTGATCATTTTATTAGAGTCTTAGGACGATGGTCGTCAGATTGTTTTACTCGTTATATACGTACTGAGGCAGTCACTATCCAGTTTGACCAGCCCCATGTGACTTCTTTGTTACCAACCTAATTCTTCTTTATACATTAACCTTGATTGGGGGCACTCACTCATATTATTGAATTACTCGCTCATTTATGGCTTCTAAATTCTTGGGCAATTTTCCCCACAATCACTTCATAAACTAAGTAATCTTTAGAAGTTTAGTCAACCTTCTCCAAGATCCTTATGTGAGTCAAGTCCCTTTTCTGAATCATTACAGAGTCAAGGTTCTTCTCATTGGTTACCTTAGGACTCAAGTTTGTGCTGTGTTTGGAGGCGGCTACTCAGTATACGTAGTAAGTCTTAGAGTCAAGTCACTTCTCTTTGAGCCGAGATTCTTCAGAGTCAAGTACTTCTCTTCTCCCATGGAGTCTAGCCGTTGCCTTCTTCACTGTGCTTCTCTGATGTCACAGAGTCGAGCCTGTTAACTTAGTTTTATTAGGTGCTTATGAGTGAGTTGCCCCTGTTTGCGCCAGAATTATGTTTTTCATGTACATATAACAACACTTTTACAATCATCAATAAATTGTTTAACTTCAGTCATGCTTGATTGTTTTTGTATAAATGTTCAATTTGTGTCTCTTGTATAATATACTAAAAGGATCAAGAAACGCAGGGTGAACTTTAAACCAGAAATTAAGTATGATATCGGGCTTCATTTAAAACGAAATTTTGTATACTTACACATAAATCAAAGCTTAAAAATTTCCAAAGTCTGTATTTTGCATCTGACAATTGGTTTAGAGGTACTAACGATTAAATTGAATGGACCCATAGGATCTTGAAATTGAAATTGAACTGAGTCATCAATATCATGTGTGTCCACCGTTTGCTGTGTTCACGGCCCTTATTCTTCTGCTCATAGAGTTCATGAGAGCGTTAATCCGTCTTACGGGGATGTTGTCCCACTCTTCAATCAGAGCTCTGAGTAGGTTCAGCGTAGCAGGGGGTGGCTGGCGCTTTCGAACCTGTCTATCCAACTGATCCCAAAGATGCTCGATCGGGGACAAATCAGGGCTATATGACGGCCAATCTAGTGGTTGAATGTTGTTGGCCAGAAAGACTTGGCAAATCCTTGCTACGTGCGGCCTAGCATTATCCTGCTGGAGGATTAGATTATGCTGCTGTAAGAAAGGGATAACATGGGGTCGGAGGATCTCATCTCTATACTTAGCTGCTGTTAGATTGCCATCAATAACAACCAATTGTGATTTTAACCCGTGTGAGATTCCTCCCCACACCATTACTGAACCGCCCCCAAACCTATCCCTCTCTACAACGCAAGCGTCCGTAAAACGTTCGCCACGACGTCGGTAGACACGTTGACGGCCGTCATATCGATAAAGACAGAATCGAGACTCGTTCGTGAAGCAGGGGTAAGGTGTGGACCTACGTAGGGGCGACGTGCTCTGACACCAACTTCTCGTAATCAATTCCTTACAGTTTTTGAACTTATAGGACGCCCATGATTTCCACTAACATTAAGTGCACTCTCAACGGCAGTAAGGCGCCGATTACGCACATGAGACACGACGATATAGCGACCCTGACGTCGTGACGTTACGCGCGGACGTCCTGACCTAGGTCGATCGGCCAATCGCCCAGTTTCCCGAAGACGTCTTACAAGACGTTCTATGGTGGAAACATTAACACCAAAGTGCCTAGCAACCTGATTTTGCAGCTGTCCTTGCATCAGCATCTGAATGGCCTGACCCCTCTGAACTTCTGTGAGTCGTGCCATTCTTAAAACGAATCAAATTCCCAATTAATTTTAGGGAAGCAGTTGGTCTGTATAAAGACTAACGAAGAGTGACTTGACCAGCGCTGCATGAGACCAGAACAACACGGTGCACGAGATTCTTGTTTTTTCCTTCTTCCATTTACCAGAGCTGCGCACTGTACCGTGACTAAATTTTCGATACATGACAAGGTGTAATATGACCTAATTACTCAGTCCACAAAGTTTCACTTTAATTGGATAACGCGTTTTCAAAATATCGGAATAAATATTACCCTGCGTTTCTTTATCCTTTCAGTATATTTCAATGTCAGTTAATGTTCCCATGCATTGCCGTTGTGTGTTGACGTTGTATATAGATTGTCCTTGTGTTTCGATTCTGTCGTATAGAATGTCCATATATTTTGATATTGTTTATTTTTGCCAAACCATGTTGGCTTTGTCGGGTTTGTTGAAACTTCAGTAATTTGTTCAGTGTATGTCCTTATATTTTGATATTGTCGTTTAGTTTTGCCAAACTATGCTGACTTTGACGGGTTTTGTTGAAACTCCAGTAATTTAGTTTCAGTGTATTTAACGTTTTCTTATCTTGTGCCTGTTTTGCCAGCAGCAAATGAAATAGTTGGTAGTGACAGTATCCTCGTTCATACAGTTATATATTGTTGCATTTGATAATGGTTTGAAATTCTATTGTATAATCTTATCTACTGTTGACTGTTGACGCCAATGTATATGAACAAATACCATTACTAATCTTATCATCTTGTTGGGTGAACACGTAATAAAACAGGACACTTCTATCATAGCGTTCACAGTGATCTTTGTAGAGAAAGGTGATAATACAATGGACAAAGTCTTGGTTGTGGTGCTGTCATTGTCTCTTCTGCTGGGAGTAGTATCTTCCACAGGTAAGAAATGTGACGCTCCTGCTTTGCTCGGGACTACGTGCTCTGTTCGGGTACTGATTGTTCTGTAATGAATTTCCCTGAGTCTCTATACTGTAACGGTGTTTTCTTTACATACAATCTATGTTTGTAGTTAACCTCTTTTCTTTCAGTCTGCTAGAGTTGGCATTCGTTGCAGATATATGATAAGATATGTCATGTTTATCGCTTAGTGGTTAGAGTTAGTTCTCTACAAATACACAACATCACGATATTCTATTGAGATAAAATGTAGATGTTTTGTGCCGATTGTCGCTATGTCTACTTGAGCAAACGTAAACTTTTTCTCCCATATCATGTTTATTTTGGTGGCTTCATGAACGTTTTAGTGTTTTATATTAAATTGACAGCCGCCATAACTAGAATTCTCATTTCGTTTGTCACGAGAAAACGTTATTTATTTAAAAATATTTGTTTAGGATGTTATATTTATTAGGTTTTGTTTTGTAGATGTAGAGAATGGGTCGACAGACGACTTGGAAATGAAAACAACAACACACTGTAAGTAGCACAACATCATGACTATTTACCTATTAAACAAGGGCGAAATTGACAACCAAATAAACACAGATTCGTTTTATATCGTGATGAATGATTGGTATCACTTTAAATAAGATAATCTAGTTACATGTTCGATGTGTAATTATTAACATCAAAGCAAAGATATGTATCTCATATTTCAGACATAAATGTATCATATACATTTATCGCGCGTGGCTGCATAGTTTCTCTTTATAAATTACTGATGTAGCATGTGTGTTTTGCTATTCATTCAAACGTAGCTTATACTGATTTTTTTCGTTCAACAATAATCATCAGTGTGATATGAATACAAGTTGTATTTGTTTACCTATCAAATACTTTACCAACATTAACGGAGGCTAGGTTATGTCATATTTCGTAAAACCAATGGTTGGAAATGTGCCTTAACTTAAACAAGAAACGTAAATACCGTATGTAAAATGTGAAGCGATTTATATTTGAAATGTTTAAAATTAAATATTGTTTCAAATATTATTCTGAATATTCTACCAGCGAGATTTGGATGGTGTATGCCAGCTAGATACGGTCGATGCATCAGCAGAGAATGTGATCTCCAAGGAGAGGAATGTTGCTGCCCCCCTCTGTTTCCTGGGAAGTAATCCTGGACAAGCAGGAACCTTGCACTATAAAAGTACAGTGTTGAATATTTGGAATAAAACCGAAAACTGATTTAGAGTACAGCGTTATAAAATCATCACAGTCAGCAAACCAGTGAGACATAAGGTGATGCTTATACCAGCTTCTGTTAAATCACGTAGTAGTTTTTATATGTATGTATTCAAATGGGCAGCAAGGTTGTGATGTATTCTTACCCAGCAAATGTGACAGTCCTTGTCTCATTGTTCATTAAAATGAAGATAAATTCAGTGACCATAAAAATGATAATCTACACATGGTTCCAGGTGTAATAGTGTTTATCTATGTATCCGTCTAAAAACCAACAAAAAACTAAACTTTATTTGAAAATCAGGGCTTCATGCACAATACTGTAGCTACGATAGTTCTCTGTATTGTCTGTCAACTGTTGTAACAAACTACTACTATCTAACCAGTGAAATATAAGGAACTATGATAAATGAGGGGACTGATAGGGATAAATGAGGGGACTGATGGGGGTAGATTAGGGGACTGATGGGGATAAATGAGGAGACTGATGGGGATAAATGAGGGGACTGATGGGGATAAATTAGGGGACTGATAGGGATAAATGAGGGGACTGATGGGGATAAATGAGGGAACTGATAGGGATAAATGAGGGAACTGATAGGGATAAATGAGGGAACTGATAGGGATAAATGAGGGGACTGATGGGGATAAATGAGGGGACTGATGGGGATAAATGAGGGAACTGATAGGGATAAATGAGGGGACTGATGGGGATAAATGAGAGGACTGATGGGGATAAATGAGGGGACTGATGGGGATAAATGAGGGGACTGATGGGAATAAATGAGGGGACTGATGGGGATAAATGAGGGGACTGATGGGGATAAATGAGGGGACTGATGGGGATAAATGAGGGAACTGATGGGGATAAATGAGAGGACTGATGGGGATAAATGAGGGGACTGATGGGGATAAATGAGAGGACTGATGGGGATAAATGAGAGGACTGAACTGAAATTCAAGAAAATAACTACATATGAAACAATACATGGCTCTTTAATATAAACAAGATAAACGATTAATAAAATAAGCTGACACCTGCTATGAAAGGAGTTTTGTAAGGAGTAGGACATGAATCACATAATTTTGATTTTCTGCAGGTAATGCTATAGATTCGATAATACAATATAGTACTTCAGAGTCACAACGTAATGAACATAGTTCGGTTTCGACTGTCATATTCATAAGGTATGATAAACTCTGTTGTTGTCGTTGTGGGAAGCCAGTAGAGTTACAACCGTATCCTGAAGGAGCTGAAATGTAAATCAACGACTCAGAATGGTCACATGGCAACAGTATATACAGGACGACTCAGAATGGTCACATGGCAACAGTATATACAAGACGACTCAGAATGGTCACATGACAACAGTATTTACAAGACGACGATTCAGAATGATCACATGGCAACAGTATATACAGGACGACTCAGAATGGTCACATGGCAACAGTATATACAAGACGACTCAGAATGGTCACATGGCAACAGTATATACAGGACGACTAAGAATGGTCACATGGCATCATGTATGTATCATTGTCACACCACCAACTGTATCCTTGTCCATTTATACACCACCAGCTGTATCATTGTCACACCACCAACTGTATCATTGTCCATTTATACATCACCAACTGTATCAGTCACACCACCAAATGTATCATTGTCACACCACCAACTGTACCATTGTCACACCACCAACTGTATCATTGTCACACCACCAACTGTATCATTGTCCATTGTCACACCACCAACTGTATCATTGTCACACCACCAACTGTATCATTGTCACACCACCAACTATATCATTGTCACACCACCAACTGTATCATTGTCACACCACCAACTGTATCATTGTCACACCACCAACTGTATCATTGTCACACCACCAACTGTATCATTGTCACACCACCAACTGTATCATTGTCCATTTATACACCACCAACTGTATCATTGTCACACCACCAACTGTATCATTGTCACACCACCAACTGTATCATTGTCCATTTGTACACCACCAACTCTATCATTGTCACACCACCAACTGTATCATTGTCACACCACCAACTGTATTATTGTCACACCACCAACTGTATCATTGTCCATTTATACACCACCAACTGTATCATTGTCCATTTGTACACCACCAACTGTATCATTGTCCATTTATACACCACCAACTGTATCATTGTCCATTTATACACCACCAACTGTATCATTGTCACACCACCAACTGTATCATTGTCACACCACCAACTGTATCATTGTCACACCACCAACTGTATCATTGTCACACCACCAACTGTATCATTGTCACACCACCAACTGTACCATTGTCACACCACCAACTGTATCATTGTCACACCACCAACTGTATCATTGTCACACCACCAACTCTATCATTGTCACACCACCAACTGTATCATTGTCACACCACCAACTGTATCATTGTCACACCACCAACTGTATCATTGTCACACCACCAACTGTATCATTGTCACACCACCAACTGTATCATTGTCACACCACCAACTGTATCATTGTCACACCACCAACTGTATCATTGTCCATTTGTACACCACCAACTGTATCATTGTCCATTTATACACCACCAACTGTATCATTGTCACACCACCAACTGTATCATTGTCACACCACCAACTGTATCATTGTCACACCACCAACTGTATCATTGTCATACCACCAACTGTATCATTGTCACACCACCAACTGTATCATTGTCACACCACCCATTTGTCACACCACCAACTGTATCATTGTCACACCACCAACTGTATCATTGTCCAATGTTATTGTCACACCACCAACTGTATCATTGTCCATTTATACACCACCAACTGTATCATTGTCACACCACCAACTATCACACCACCAACTATATCATTGTCACACCACCAACTGTATCATTGTCACACCACCAACTGTACCATTGTCACACCACCAACTGTATCATTGTCACACCACCAACTGTATCATTGTCACACCACCAACTGTATTATTGTCACACCACCAACTGTATCATTGTCCATTTATACACCACCAACTGTATCATTGTCACACCACCAACTGTATCATTGTCACACCACCAACTGTATCATTGTCACACCACCAACTGTATCATTGTCACACCACCAACTGTATCATTGTCCACCACAACTGTACATTGTCACACCACCAACTGTATCATTGTCCACACCACCAACTGTATCATTGTCCACACCACCAACTTTATCATTGTCACACCACCAACTGTATCATTGTCACACCACCAACTGTATCATTGTCACACCACCAACTGTATCATTGTCACACCACCAACTGTATCATTGTCACTCCACCAACTGTATCATTGTCACACCACCAACTGTATCATTGTCACACCACCAACTGTATCATTGTCACACCACCAACTGTATCATTGTCACACCACCAACTGTATCATTGTCACACCACCAACTGTACCATTGTCACACCACCAACTGTATTATTGTCACACCATCAACTGTACCATTGTCACACCACCAACTGTATTATTGTCACACCACCAACTGTATCATTGTCACACCACCAACTGTACCATTGTCACACCACCAACTGTATCATTGTCACACCACCAACTGTATCATTGTCACACCACCAACTGTATCATTGTCACACCACCAACTGTATCATTGTCACACCACCAACTGTATCATTGTCCATTTGTACACCACCAACTGTATCATTGTCACACCACCAACTGTATCATTGTCACACCACCAACTGTATCATTGTCACACCACCAACTGTATCATTGTCACACCACCAACTGTATCATTGTCACACCACCAACTCTATCATTGTCACACCACCAACTGTATCATTGTCCATTTATACACCACCAACTGTATCATTGTCACACCACCAACTGTATCATTGTCACACCACCAACTGTATCATTGTCACACCACCAACTGTATCATTGTCACACCACCAACTGTATCATTGTCCATTTGTACACCACCAACTGTATCATTGTCACACCACCAACTATATCATTGTCACACCACCAACTGTATCATTGTCACACCACCAACTGTATCATTGTCACACCACCAACTGTATCATTGTCACACCACCAACTGTATCATTGTCACACCACCAACTGTACCATTGTCACACCACCAACTGTATCATTGTCACACCACCAACTGTATCATTGTCCATTTATACACCACCAACTGTATCATTGTCACACCACCAACTATATCATTGTCACACCACCAACTGTATCATTGTCACACCACCAACTGTATCATTGTCCATTTGTACACCACCAACTGTATCATTGTCCATTTATACACCACCAACTGTATCATTGTCACACCACCAACTGTATCATTGTCACACCACCAACTGTATCATTGTCCATTTATACACCACCAACTGTATCATTGTCCATTTATACACCACCAACTGTATCATTGTCACACCACCAACTGTATCATTGTCACACCACCAACTGTATCATTGTCACACCACCAACTGTATCATTGTCACACCACCAACTGTATCATTGTCCATTTATACACCACCAACTGTCCTGCTGTCCTTATATACTATCAATAACTATCATACTCCCCAATTATACTACCACCAACTTCCCTTTTGCCCCAATAAAGCACCATCGGCTGTCATTTTGTCTCAATTTACTACCATCAGCAATTATACCGTTCGTATCTAAAGCCACCAACTGTGGTATTGTCGCAACATTCTGCCACCAACTCTCATATTGTAACAATATTCTATCACCAACTTTCATATTTTGCAATATTCTGTCACCAACTTTCATATTGTTGCAATATTCTGTCACCAACTGTAATATTGTTGCAATATTCTGTCACCAACTTTCATATTGTTTTCTGTCACCAACTTTCATATTGTTGCAATATTCTGTCACCAAATGTAATATTTTTGCAATATTCTGTCACCAACTTTCATATTGTAACAATATTCTATCACCAACTTTCATATTGTTGCAAAATTCTGTCACCAATTGTAATATTGTTGCAATATTCTGTCACCAACTGTCATATTGTTGCAATATTATGTCACCAACTGTCATATTGTCGCAATATTCTGCCACTAACTTTCATATTACCCAATGTCTTTGACTTTATAAAAGTGCCCTTTTACTGCGTAGACTGCAATGCCATTATTATTATCATACTAACTCGACATATGAACCTAGCAGTACGGTGTGTAGACGAGCAATTACTTTCTATCTTAACGTTTTAGAACTGTGTTACCTCTCAAACTCTGGTGCTTTTGAGATGACATGTTGAAATTCTGAAAATGATATTAAGTCGTCATTATCAAGATCGGCTTCCTTCAGGATCTACAGCAGAAGAATATATGTGATGTATTGTTTCACAGTAAACATCTGGAAATGTACTCCATTTAATACTTATATATGTATCTTACATTAAAAACAGCTCTTGAAGAAATTACAGTATATATTTAAAACAATACTTTGGTAACGCCACTCCATTCTCCGTGCTTGTAATATATATACGAAGAGTGTCAACTAAATTTATTGTTTCCAAAATAATTTTAATGCTAAAAATGTGAATTTAATGCACGAAAATATTGGTATCAGAAATACCAGTAATTAAAGATAATTAAAGATATAGCTTAAACGGAACCTGTCTGGGATTATGCTTTCGATACAATATTTCAATTTTTTTTCTTTCTTTTTTATTCATAAGTAAGAATAAATTTTATAAAATTTATTAAGTGTCTACGCATGTACATCTGAGTTTATCGGGTATTTTACATACCCCAGTGATCAATTTTACCTACCTCAGTGACCAGTCTGACTCTTTCTTCATCTTTCAGTGTTGTCTCCCTCTGTGAGGAACATAGCCGTGTCACCATTTCCCCCAGGTCTTCACGTGATATCGCGTCATCGCCATCAAAGTCTGAAATAATGTAAGATCGAGGAATAAGTGTACCGTTATTATATAAAATCTAAAGTAAGGCCGAGGAATAAGTGTACCGTCAATGTGTATAATCTGAAGTAAGGCCGAGGAATAAGTGTACCGTCAATGTGTATAATCTGAAGTAAGGCCGAGGAATAAGTGTACCGTCAATGTGTATAATCTGAAGTAAGGCCGAGGAATAAGTGTACCGTCAATGTGTATAATCTGAAGTAAGGCCGAGGAATAATTGTACCGTCAATGTGTATAATCTGAAGTAAGGCCGAGGAATAAGTGTACCGTCAATGTGTATAATCTGAAGTAGGGCCGAGTAATAAGTGTACCGTCAATGTGTATAATCTGAAGTAAGACCGAGGAACAAGTGTACCGTCAATATGTATAATCTGAAGTAAGGCCGAGGAATAATTGTAGTGTCAATATGTATAATCAGAAGTAAGGCCGAGGAACACGTGTACCGTCAATATGTATAATCTGAAGTAAGGCCGAGGAATAATTGTACCGTCAATGTGTATAATCTGAAGTAAGACCGAGGAACAAGTGTACCGTCAATATGTATAATCTGAAGTAAGGCCGAGGAATAATTGTAGTGTCAATATGTATAATCAGAAGTAAGGCCGAGGAACACGTGTACCGTCAATATGTATAATCTGAAGTAAGGCCGAGGAATAATTTTACTGTCAATATGTATAATCTGAAGTAAGGCCGAGGAACACGTGTACCATCAATATGTATAATCTGAAGTAAGGCCGAGGAATAAGTGTACTGTCAATGTGTATAATCTGAAGTAAGGCCGAGGAATAAGTGTACCGTCAATGTGTATAATCTGAAGTAAGGCCGAGGAATAATTGTACTGTCAATAGGTATAATTTGAAGTAAGACCGAGGAATAAGTGTACCGTCAATATGTATAATCTGAAGTAAGGCCGAGGAATAATTGTACCGTCAATATGTATAATCTGAAGTAAGGCCGAGGAGTAATTGTACCGTCAATATGTATAATCTGAAGTAAGGCCGAGGAACACGTGTACCGTCAATATGTATAATCTGAAGTAAGGCCGAGGAATAATTGTACCGTCAATATGTATAATCTGAAGTAAGACCGAGGAATAAGTGTACTGTCAATGTGTATAATCTGAAGTAAGGCCGAGGAATAATTGTACCGTCAATGTGTATAATCTGAAGTAAGGCCGAGGAATAAGTGTACTGTCAATGTATAATCTGAAGTAAGGCCGAGGAATAAGTGTACCGTCAATGTGTATAATCTGAAGTAAGACCGAGGAATAAGTGTACTGTCAATGTGTATAATCTGAAGTAAGGCCGAGGAATAAGTGTACCGTCAATGTGTATAATCTGAAGTAAGACCGAGGAATAATTGTACTGTCAATGTGTATAATCTGAAGTAAGGCCGAGGAATAAGTGTACTGTCAATGTGTATAATCTGCAGTAAGGCCGAGGAATTATTGTTCTGTCAATATGTATAATCTGAAGTAAGGCCGAGGAATAATTGTACTGTCAATGTGTATAATCTGCAGTAAGGCCGAGGAATTATTGTTCTGTCAATGTGTATAATCTGAAGTAAGGCCGAGGAATAATTGTACTGTCAATGTGTATAATCTGAAGTAAGGCCGAGGAATAATTGTACCGTCAATATGTATAATCTGAAGTAAGGCCGAGGAATAATTGTACCGTCAATATGTATAATCTGAAGTAAGGCCGAGGAATAATTGTACCGTCAATATGTATAATCTGAAGTAAGACCGAGGAATAATTGTACTGTCAATGTGTATAATCTGAAGTAAGGCCGAGGAATAAGTGTACCGTCAATGTGTATAATCTGAAGTAAGGCCGAGGAATTATTGTTCTGTCAATGTGTATAATCTGAAGTAAGGCCGAGGAATAAGTGTAGTGTCAATATGTATAATCTGAAGTAAGGCCGAGGAATAATTGTACTGTCAATGTGTATAATCTGAAGTAAGGCCGAGGAATAATTGAACCGTCAATATGTATAATCTGAAGTAAGGCCGAGGAATAAGTGTACCGTCAATGTGTATAATCTGAAGTAAGACCGAGGAATAATTGTACTGTCAATGTGTATAATCTGAAGTAAGGCCGAGGAATAAGTGTACTGTCAATGTATAATCTGAAGTAAGGCCGAGGAACACGTGTACCGTCAATATGTAAAACCTGAAGGAAGGCCGAGGAATAATTGTACTGTCAATGTATAATCTGAAGTAAGGCCGAGGAATAATTGTACTGTCAATGTGTATAATCTGAAGTAAGGCCGAGGAATAATTGTACTGTCAATGTGTATAATCTGAAGTAAGGCCGAGGAATAATTGTACCGTCAATATGTATAATCTGAAGTAAGGCCGAGGAATAATTGTACCGTCAATATGTATAATCTGAAGTAAGGCCGAGGAATAATTGTACCGTCAATATGTATAATCTGAAGTAAGACCGAGGAATAATTGTACTGTCAATGTGTATAATCTGAAGTAAGGCCGAGGAATAAGTGTACCGTCAATGTGTATAATCTGAAGTAAGGCCGAGGAATTATTGTTCTGTCAATGTGTATAATCTGAAGTAAGGCCGAGGAATAAGTGTAGTGTCAATATGTATAATCTGAAGTAAGGCCGAGGAATAATTGTACTGTCAATGTGTATAATCTGAAGTAAGGCCGAGGAATAATTGTACCGTCAATGTGTATAATCTGAAGTAAGGCCGAGGAATACGTGTACCGTCAATATGTATAATCTGAAGTAAGGCCGAGGAATAATTGTACCGTCAATATGTATAATCTGAAGTAAGGCCGAGGAATAAGTGTACTGTCAATGTATAATCTGAAGTAAGGCCGAGGAATAAGTGTACCGTCAATGTGTATAATCTGAAGTAAGACCGAGGAATACGTGTACCGTCAATATGTATAATCTGAAGTAAAGTCGAGGAATAATTGTACTGTCAATATGTTAATCTGAAGTAAGGCCAAGGAATACCTGTACCGTCAATATGTATAATCTGAAGTAAAGCCGAGGAATAATTGTACTGTCAATATGTATAATCTGAAGTAAAGTCGAGGAATACCTGTACCGTCAATATGTATAATCTGAAGTAAAGACGAGGAATAATTGTACTGTCAATATGTTAATCTGAAGTAAGGCCGAGGAACACGTGTACCGTCAATGTGTATAATCTGAAGTAAGGCCGAGGAATAATTGTACTGTCAATGTGTATAATCTGAAGTAAGGCCGAGGAATAATTGTACTGTCAATGTGTATAATCTGAAGTAAGGCCGAGGAACACGTGTACCCTCAATATGCATAATCTGAAGTAAGGCCGAGGAATAATTGTACCGTCAATATGTATAATCTGAAGTAAGGTTGAGGAATAAGTGTATTGTCAATATGTATAATCTGAAGTAAGGCCGAGGAATACGTGTACTGTCAATGTGTATAATCTGAAGTAAGGCCGAGGAATAAGTGTACCGTCAATATGTATAATCTGAAGTAAGGCCGAGGAATAAGTGTACCGTCAATGTGTATAATCTGAAGTAAGGCCGAGGAATAAGTGTACCGTCAATATGTATAATCTGAAGTAAGGCCGAGGAATAATTGTACCGTCAATATGTATAATCTGAAGGAAGGCCGAGGAATAAGTGTAGTGTCAATATGTATAATCTGAAGTAAGGCCGAGGAACACGTGTACCGTCAATATGTATAATCTGAAGTAAGGCCGAGGAATAATTGTAGTGTCAATATGTATAATCTGAAGTAAGGCCGAGGAATAAGTGTACTGTCAATGTATAATCTGAAGTAAGGCCGAGGAATACGTGTACCGTCAATGAGTATAATCTGAAGTAAGGCCGAGGAATAATTGTACCGTCAATATGTATAATCTGAAGTAAGGCCGAGGAATAAGTGTACTGTCAATGTATAATCTGAAGTAAGGCCGAGGAATAAGTGTACCGTCAATGTGTATAATCTGAAGTAAGGCCGAGGAATAATTGTACTGTCAATGTGTATAATCTGAAGTAAGGCCGAGGAATAATTGTACCGTCAATATGTATAATCTGAAGTAAGGCCGAGGAACACGTGTACCGTCAATATGTAAAACCTGAAGGAAGGCCGAGGAATAATTGTACTGTCAATGTATAATCTGAAGTAAGGCCGAGGAATAAGTGTACTGTCAATGTGTATAATCTGAAGTAAGGCCGAGGAATAAGTGTACCGTCAATATGTATAATCTGAATAAGGCCAGTGTACCGTCAATGTGTATAATCTGAAGTAAGGCCGAGGAATAAGTGTACCGTCAATATAATGTATAATCTGTAAGGTCAATATGAGGAATAAAGTGTACCGTCAATATGTATAATCTGAAGTAAGGTAGACGAATCAGTGTACCGTCAATATGTATAATCTGAAGTAAGGCCGAGGTATTAGTGTACCGTCAATATGTATAATTTTAAGTATTCACCTGTATATTGACCTCGCAAATCATGCATGATTGAGTCAGATTAGGTGGCACTACATTTTTATGTTCAAAACACTATTACAATGAACAGAGTTAAGAGAATATCTGTCTCGACACTCGGTATACAGGGTCCAGTCTTAATAGAGTTAAGAGAAGATATGTCTCGACACTCGGAATACAGGGTCCAGTCTTAATAGAGTTAAGAGAAGATATGTCTCGACACTCGGAATACAGGGTCCAGTCTGACAATGAATAGAGTTAAGAGAAAAGATGTCTCGACACTCGGTATACAGGGTAAAGTCTGACAATGAATAGAGTTAAGAGAAGATATGTCTCGACACTCGGTATACAGGGTCCAGTCTGACAATGAACAGAGTTAAGAGAAAATATGTCTCAACACTCGGTATACAGGGTCCAGTCTGACAATGAATAGAGTTAAGAGAAAAGATGTCTCGACACTCGGTATACAGGGTCCAGTCTGACAATGAATAGAGTTAAGAGAAGATATGTCTCGAC